TTCTGACGTGCTGAGTGGAGGAGTGAATCTGCTTTGGGGAGCCCCTGTCATTCTGGGTATAGTTGTCTTGGTGCTTGCCAGCTGCCTTTTTTCCACGCTGTCATAGAACCAGTCAAGAGTGTATTTGCTGGGACCGGCAGTAAATAAATATACAGCATGGGAAATGTAGCATCTGGACCAGCCGGCATGGCACCTTTCTCGCGCCCTATCCAGAGGTTGCTTAGGGACCGAGATCTAAAAATCTCAGAGGGTACCGTAAGGAAGTTTTTGGAGGATGTTGATGGAGCAGCGTCATGGTTTAGAGGCTCGGGGGACATCAATCTCCCTTGCTGGGATAAGCTAGGTAGGGACCTTGAGACAGCTAAGGTGGAGGGTAAGCTTCGGCTGGGAACTCACCCATTATGGAAACTGATATGAGCCTGTTTGTGGGACGGGAAATGCGTCGAAGCATTAAAAAAGGGCCGAAGAGCGCTTTCAGCCTACCAGGATAGCATGTCAGAGCTAGATACCAAGAAAGTAAAGACAGGAGAACACAAAAGCATAGGCCTAAGGAGGGCGACAAAAGCTCCCAGAAATGGGAAAAGAAAGCTCCAGAGAAAAACAGGGAGCTGGAGGATATGCGGTATCCACTCTTGGAGGAATTTCCTAATTTTTCTATAGATGAGTCCTCCGAGGATGAGGACCAATTAGATGTGGAGGAGGAGGAAGATCTCCTGCCGCTTCTGCTTCCTTTATTAAGCCTAGGACAAGGAGCCGATTGGCTACTACGTTTCCCGTCTTTCAGGATCCCAACACAGGGCAGAGATTTCATGAGATGGCAGATTATAAACAGTTAAAGGATTTGGCTGAGTTCACGCAGACTTAGGGAGTGTCTGCGAGCTTTACGCTCGGACTTATAGAACTTCTAGGACAATTGGCAATGACACCTGCCGATTCCATGAGTACCGTTAAGGCGTGTGTTACTTTAGGCCAATACTTGGACTTCAAGTCCATTTATACTGACTATGCTTATGCACAAGCCCAAATTAACGCAGCCAACGGCAATGCTGCCTGGACGGCAGACATGTTACTAGGTCAAGGACAGTGGATAAACAATCAGACAGTGTTTCCTATTCAAGTTTACCAACAAATTGATGAAATGGCCATACGAGCCTGGAAGACCCTGCCCAACAGGGGCCAAGTGTCGGGTAATTTAACAAAGATAATACAAGGGCCAACAGGGCCATTTCAGACTTTGTCGCTCGTATGATGGAAGCAGCAGGGAGAGTCTTTGGAGACATAGACCAGTGTATGCCCTTAGTAGAGCAACTTATCTTTGAACAATGTACCAAAGAATGTAGGAGGGCAATCACCCCCTGGAAAGGAAAAGGACTCCAGGCATGGATGAAAGCTTGCAGGGAAATAGGAGGGCCATTGACCAATTCTGAACTGGCGGCTGCTGTTTTGGCTGCTGCCCAGACGTCTGGCACTAGGCCAGGAGTCTGTTTTAAATATGGCCAGCCAGCTCACATGAGAAAAACATGTCCGAATGGAGAAGGAAGGCAGGGAGGTGCAGGACGTCAACCAGGCCTCTGTCTGAGATGCAAAAAGGGGAAGCATTGGGCAAATGAATGCCGATCGGTGAAAGACATCAATGGTCTGCCCATTACTACTCCACCAGGTTCAAAAAATGGCAAGAGGGGCCCACGTACCCAGGGCCCTCAAATGTATGTGGCATTGCAGGATCAGGCAGAGCAGGGTTGGACATCTGTGCCGCCACCAGGCTGGTATTGACACCACAAATGGGAGTGCAGCCCATCGAGTCAGACTTTAAGGGTCCGTTGCCTAGAGACACTGTGGGCTTACTGTTAGGACGATCATTATCTGCTCTAAAAGGGCTGGTAGTAACCCCGGGAGTTATAGACCCTGATTATACTGGCATAATTAAGATCATGTGTTCCTCCCCAAGGGGCATTACAGCTATTTCCTCAGGGGATCACATAGCTCAACTGTTGATCTTGCCTAGTCTGCATAACTGTTTTCCAGCCAGGGCTATGAATAGAGGAGATTAAGGGTTTGGATCCACTGGCACAGATCTTGTTTGTCTGTCTATGGGTTTAGATCAAAGGCCTATCATAGCCCTTAATATAGAAGGCAAAATGTTTCAAGGATTGCTGGACACAGGTGTGGACCGCAGCATCATTAGAGAGGGGGATTGGCCGAAACGGTGGCCTCTACAGCTATCATCTCCAACATTACAGGGCCTGGGGTATGCCAATATGCCAAAAGTCAGTGCTAAGGAATTAGCTTGGACATATGTAGAAGGACAAAAAGGACTATTTCAACCTTTCATGCTTGATCTCCCCATTTCCTTATGGGGGCGAGATGTTTTGAGTCAGATGAGAATAAAACTTGTTACACAGTATTCAGATGTTAGTCAACAGTTAATGCTGCAGTCCGGTTATGTTCCAGGCAAGGGACTAGGGAAGGGGTTTCAGGGCACCCCCGAACCGACCATGCCTTCAATGAATCCTGGATGTCAAGGCCTGGGTTTTTCCTAGGGGCCACTGAGAATGCCATCCCTATACCCTGGACCACTGACATCCCGGTCTGGGTCCCTCAGTGGCCCCTCTCTAGAGAAAAATCAGAGGCAGCACAAGAATTAGTAAGAGAGCAACTTGCTCTGTGACATCTAGAAATATCTCAATCTCCTTGGAATACGCCTATTTTTGTGATCAAGAAAAAATCAGGAAAATGGAGGCTCCTACACGACCTTAGAGCAGTTAATCAGCAAATGCAATTACGAGGATCAGTGCAAAGGGGATTGCCTTTGCTTTCTAGCCTTCCTAAAGATTGGCCAGTTATTATTATTGATATAAAGGATTGCTTTTTTTCAATACCCTTGATCAAGGAGGATTGTCCTCGGTTTGTATTTACGATCCCATCCGTTAATCATGAACAACCTGATGCAAGGCATCAATGGAGGGTTTTGCCCCAAGGAATGGCCAATAGCCCTACTATGTGCCAGTTGTTTGTTCAAAAGGCCTTGGAGCCAGTGCGCCTAAAATTTCCAAAGTTGAGATTAGGCCATTATATGGATGATATTTTGATAGCTGCCCCTAATAATGATATGCTTGATTTGGCATTTTCTGCCACTGTTGACGCACTTAGGGGATATGGGCTGGAAATTGCTCCTGAAAAGGTACAGAAGGAAGAAGTGGGACGATTCCTGGGAGCAATTATAACCCCACAGACTATAAGACTGCAAAAAATAAGTCTGAGACTTGACAATCTTAAAACTCTTAATGATTTTCAAAGATTGCTAGGCGATATCAACGGGCTTCAGCCGTACCTTTGGCTTACTACAGCTGAGCTGAGACCCCTATTTAAAATTTTGGAGGGAGACCCAAAAGTGACGTCCCCTCGAATGCTGACACAGGATGCAAGAGAGACTTTGGAGAGGGTTGAACAGGCCATTCAGAATGCACAGTTAAGACAAGATGATGAGAGTACACAATTAGTGTTGTGCATTTTGCCTACTAACTCAGCACCCACAGCTGTCCTTTGGCAAGATGGGCCTTTGTTGTGGATACATGCTCATGCCTCCATTCCCAAAACAATTGAGTGTTATCCCACGGCTGTGGCATCTATTGCCATGATAGGTATAAAGATGTGCTATGCAACCACAGTTTTTGATCTAGCCATACACCCCTAAACAAGTACAAGTCTTAAGTGCAACACTAGATGATTGGGCTGTTCTTGTCTGCGCATTTTCTGGAAGGTTTGATAATCATTATCCACCAGATATATTGCTACATTTTGTCATGAATCATCCAGTTATTTTTCCTAAGGTGACCAAGCCTCACTCCTTGGATAATGCAATCACTGTTTATACTTATGGGTCAAGTTCTGGGATGGGAGCCTATGTTGTCCAGGGAGGGGAGACAGTCATTAAACATTTTGAGCCAAATAGGCCACAAATAGTGGAATGTCAAATGGTTCTAGAGGTGTTTCTCACCTTTCCAGGTCCCCTTAATATTTACTCTGATTCCCATTATGTGGTCAATGCTATAAATCAAGTTGAATCTTCTGCCATGATCTCTGACAGGAGCCCGGTGGTCTCCATTCTGTTGTCCATACGTGATACCATTAGAAAGAGGTCACATCCTTTTCACATGGATCATACACGAGCACACACATTGCTGCCAGGTCCTATGGCAGAAGCCAATGCTCGCGCTGACGTAGCCGCCTGAGCTTTTCCAATGATAACATCGGATCCTTTTTCAGCAGCATGCCTATTTCACAAGTTATATCATGTGCCCACAAAACACTAACGCTTAAATTTAAAATTCCTAGACAAGCGACTAGGAATATCGTTAAATCTTGCCAGGCCTGTGTCCCTTTTCACCACCCCCCACATGTTGGAGTCAATCCAAAAGGGCTACTACCAGGTGACCTCTGGCAAATGGATGTCACCCATGTACCTAGCTTTGGCCGTATGCAATACGTGCATGTATCAGTAGATACTTGTTCTGGTGTAATTCATGCATCACCCTTTACGGGTGAAAAGGTGGTTAATGTTATAACTCATTGCCTGGAGGCATGGGCCGCTTGGGGTAAACCCAAATGCTTAAAAACTGATAATGTCCCTGCATATTCCTCCAAAACCTTTCAACAGTTTTGCTCTCATATGGGTGTCTACTATCACACTGGCCTGCCATACAATCCACAAGGGCAAGGCATTGTAGAACAGGCTTATCACTTGTTAAAGGAAATGTTACAAAAACAAAAAGGGGGAGTAGCCCACGGCCATTCACCCAAGAATGCCATATCCCTAGCTACTTTCACCTTGAATTTTTTAAACCTTGATGATCAGGGATGATCAGCAGCCAGCCGACATGCTGGGGCTCTACCCACCGAAAACGTTGAAGTAAAATGGAAAGATGTGTTAAATAACACATGGTGTGGACTGGATCCAGTGATTGCTAGATCCAGGGGAGCTGTTTGTATTTTTTCCACAGGGCCAGGAACAACCGGTTTGGGTCCCGGCAAGACTGATGAGAGAGCTGAAACGGATACGGGACAATGAGGATGACCCTCGTGGTACTGATTCTCCTCCTGTGGATGCCAATGATAAAGTTGAAAATGATGCAACTGTGGGCAGTAACCAGGGCATGGCCAATACCTATGCCAGTTCATGCTAATTCCTCCATTATCCCACCTTGTTTTCCACCTCATGCGATATGGAAGCCCCTTGTATGGTCCCAAGAGATGATAAGATAGAACGATTTAATTCAACTAAAGTTGTGCTTAATGGGACCTTTTGTTTTTCCTTAGAACATAAAACCCCATGCATTCTGTTAAAACAAAAGAATTTGATTAATTGGATGGATCCCTTGCTTTATAGTCAGGTGAATATAGGCATATTGGCATCAGCTTTAAATAAGATTGTTCAGGGTGCCCAATCAGGCGGTGGTACATCCAGTAATGCAACTTCAGTTAACGTTACCACCTTGGCTATGAATACCACATTGTTGGTGCCTATGAAAGATCCCTCTCTTAGAGAGTGTAATAGCACTGAATTTAAAGCATCCCTACATTGTGTCCCAGATTTTTCTTTCCCTCCCACCTATACTGCCTGTTAAGGCAGGACATGGGAGGAGTTGCAGATTTCACAGGGATTCTCCCTTTCTCCATCTATGAAGAGATATTTTTATAATCAATCAAATGAAAATTCTACGATAGGGGACGGGTGGTCCTGGTATCAATGGTTGGTTTCCAATGAGGCAGGAGCGACAGCAGACATTTCTGCCTTAGCCCAAATACAAAAGCTTACCACCCGGCTGATTAATGTTTCTGGTATAGTTACCGAAACATCCCTTGGTAGGCGACTTCGCATACTTCAAGAGGAGGAGCTGGCCAATACTACCTTGGTGGCAGCACCAGTGTGTGTACCTTCTCCTTTTGTGTTTCTGCTAACTAATATTACTAATGCTACCCAAGAGGTTGATTGCAGGAGTACCGATTGCTTTCTAGCTCAATGCTGGAATGCTTCATGGAACATTGTAGTGGTTATGAAGATACCAACATTTGTGCCAATTCCTGTTAAAAATGATCCTGATATGTTCCCACTTGTTACTCTTCTACGAGAGCGATGGGATTTTGGAATTACAGCCGCTATAGTAACAGCGATAGCGGTATCAGCAGCTGCCGCAGTTACCGCAGCAGTGGCTATGGCCAATCAAGTACAAACTGCAGAAACCATTAATAATGTGGTTGCACAGACCACTACAGTGCTGGATACTCAAAGTAAAATAAATAGACACATGCTGTCAGGCATAGTGGCAGCTAATCAAAGAATGATTTTTTACAAAGTCAAATTGATGATTTGGCTGATTTGGTTCAAATGGGTTGCATTTCGTATCAAAAGCATGTATGCATAACTCCACTTTCTTTTGATAATTCCAGAAATGAATCAAAGATCCTAGGCGAATTCCTTGCTGGCAACTGGTCCAAAGAAGCAGAGAACCTGATCCAGGACCAGCTGTTGCAGATTGCTACCTTGAATGATACTCGTATACAGCCCATGACCCTTGGACAATTTACTGATTGGCTGCAATCTGCTTTTTCTTTCTTTAAGGAGTGGGTGGGGGTTGGCGTATTCGGTGCCATATGTTGCCTCTGCGTGTTTCTCTGCCTTTGGCTTCTGCACTGATTTCATGCACGGCAAGCTCAGGACAAAGCAATTATAGTCCAGGCCCTTGCCGCCCTTGAACATGGCACCCCCCCCTCAGGTCTGGCTGTCTAGCCTCAAGCATGACCTATAACTGGATGTGGCCTCCACACCCCATGTAGGGATAAGCCCGCCCCTTGGGGGCGGGCTCCCCTCGGGCGAATTGGGTGCACAGACGCTGCGCGCCCCTTCCTGCTTCTGGTACTCCGCGGGAACCTTGGTTTCGTGAGTCTGGTTTTGTCATTAAAATTGTTCAAATACCTATTACTACTGGTCTTCATTAATCCAAACCGCCACATTTGGCGCGCCAACGTGGGGCACATTTGCCCCCGCTGCTCGTTAGCCCGCAGCGCCCATAGCAGGTCCTGGGCGGACGCGATTGCCACAGCGCCGGCTCGCTCGCCCACCCGCCCGCTCTAGGCCCGCAGTCGCGCCTGCTCCGGCTCGCCCTAGGCCCTCGGTCGTGACAACAGCAGCGCAGCGCACCTCCCCCGCGCCCCCAGCTTGCTCGCCCGCCAAGGGTCCCAAGCTTCCCTCAGCCAGCGCTTTGTTCCTCTCACAGCGCCAGAGGAGTTAACCCCTCCCTCTCTGCCTTGACGTTTGGAGCTGAACACAGAAGCTTAAATATTTGCGGTTTTACAACACAAACCGCCACATTTGGCCCCGAAGGGGTCACTTTGAATAAATTTCGGTTTTGAGTTGTTTCAGACTGGCTCTCCACGTGGACTCAAGTGGACTCTTTTGCCACCTCTGGCAGGAACCAGTCATTACAGGTAAAAAATTTTTTTCCTTTTATAAATAAAATGTCTGAGAATATTACCATTCAAAATTTTAACAGTCTTTTTGAGTGTGCCATGTGGGAGATCCTACAAGAGGTGTCTAGCACCCCACATCTATGGATCCTTCTGGGATCTATACTAATAGTTTTCCTTGGCATTAAGTGGTTTGACAACAAAAGTCTGATAGAGTCTTTAAGAGACGAATCCAGGATTCCTAAGGCAGAGGTTGAACATCTACAAATGATTGAGCATGACAATGATCTTCTCAAGAATCAGTTTAAAGTTCTGCAGGAAGAGAACAGAACTTTGTTTAAAAAGACAATGGTGACTGAAAAAAATTTAGAAAAGGTTCAGGCTGATATTAAGGAGAAATTTATTACTATGGAAGAAGGAACAGCTGATTTAAATCGTAAATTTGATCAGTCACTTTCTGAAGGGACTGAAATATT